AATGGATAAACTGTGAGACATCCAGATAATGAAATACACTTCAGCACTAAAAAGACATGAGCTATGGAGCCATGAAAAGACAAGGAAGAATCTTAAATGCGTATTATTAAGAAGCCAACCTAAAAAGATGGAATCATACTGTATGATTCCAACTACATGACATTCTGAAAAAGGAAAAAAATATGGAGACAGTAAAAAGACCAGTGATTGCCAGGGGTTAAGGGCGGGGAGAAGGACGAATAGGTGGAGCACAGATGATTTTTCGGGCAATGAAAATACACTGTATGATATTGCAATGATGGATACATGTCATTATATATTTGTCCAAAAACAGAATGTACCAACAGGAGTGAACCTTAACGTAAACTATGGACTCTGGGTGATAACAATGCGTCAGTGTAGGATCATCAATTGTAATGAATGTACCATCTGGTGGGGATGTTGATAATGGGAGAGGCTATGCATGTGTGGGGGCAGGGGTATATGGGAAATCTCCTTACCTTCCTCTTAATATTACTGTAAAACTAAAACTGCTATAAAAAATTGTCCTAAAAAAAAATCCTGAAACAAATGAACCTCTCTATATGTCAAATTAGTCCCCAACCATATGAAGATTTCAAGTGACTTGAAAACACATTATTTTGACCATACATCCCTGATAGTATATATCATAGAGTTAAAACACACATCTACACATGCACAGAAATCTACTGAATTCCGTAGTCTTACTGATAATTATATTGGTTTTGTCATGTTTTTTGAAACTATCAAAGCAGTAAATTATTTATTACTACATTTATTGGTGTTAGGAACCAAGATTCAACATATGAATAAAAAATACAAATATGAAATCTAAACAGGTAACTCAAAATCCTCTTTTTAAAATTTGAATTGAGAAATATCAGGGTATTGTCAAGATTTACTTTTCTCTTTCTTAAAAATGCCTTTTCCCTAGATCTGAACACTGAAAATGAATACCATTTCATGTATTGAAATGAATACATGAATACCATTTAGCCCAGAGTATAATCCCTGACATTTCTCACTAAAAGGAATCAGGGTTCCTCGGAGAAATGTCTGATTCCAGGTCTGAGGTAAGGATGTACAGAGAAGCCTGAAACATGTTGTTCCGTCTAAAAGCAGGAAAATTACTGGAGTCTTGTCCAGGACACAGGAGGTTACTCTGAAAGGTTCTTACTGGCCAAAGATGGGGACATCTGAACATCAAATATAACAATGACTGTAAAAGTTCTGACATACAACAAACATTGAAAAAGTAAATGTAGGACATAAAAAATGTAAAATGTGCAAGCATGTAAAAAGAATGTAAAAGGTGAATTATTTATTACTATGATTCTGGAAAAGTTTGACAGTTTCTTTTTTTTTTTTTTAAGATTTTTTTATTGGGGAATTGGGGGAGAGAAACAGCATTGGGGAATCGAGGAAGGGGAACAGACAAGTTGCTGTCCTTTTTGTTCTTCAGTCTAGTTGTGGAGGACATCGTTTCACTGGCCCATGTTGGTATTATCATTGTACTCTTCCCGGGTGAGGCAGATCGGTCTCCAGGCCCTGGACAGCCGCTCATGGCAGCTCTTGGCAGCTCACACCAGCTGCTGGCCACTCACGCTGGCTACCAGCCACTCACAGTAGCTTTACAGCAGCCCACTGCAGCCTCACTGCAGCCTACACTGTCACCGGCGACTCACAGCAGCCCAGCTCCAGGTCGAGCTGTCGCTCACCATCTTAGCTGTAGAGGGCGCAGCATCACTGCCCTTATGTGGGATCCGAACCGGGGCCCTGCTGCTCAGAGCTGGCGTTCCCAAGCCAACTCTTAACCAACACGCCACT